CCCCCAGTAGATAGCTGTATGTCATAGTTGCACATCCTTCTAGTTGCTGTATGTGGGACACGGCCTCAGCATGGCCGGAGAAGCCGTGTGTCGGTGAGCACCCGGGATCCGAACCCAGGCTGCCAGTAGCGGAGCGCGTGCACTTAACCGCCAAGCCACAGGACCGGCCCTAGACACTCTGATATGGAGCTAGATTAATACTTAATACATTATTTTATTTAAGATCCAGTAAGTAAGCTATGTGTGATAATCAACATTTCTTAGAGATGGAGAAACCAAGGTACACATGCGTTCATTAATCTTCCCAAGATTAGGGCCCCCCACCAGTCAATGACAATGGCAATTTGAATCCTAGTTCTTTCTGTGTACCTTTCCTTCATGAAAATTGTAAAAGCTAACATCCGCTGAGGATTCAACCTGTGCCAGGCACTGTGCTAGGTGCTCTAGACCCATGCTTCTCCACTAGTGGCACTTTTGCCCCCCAGGGGACATTTGGCAATGTCTGGAGACATTGTTGGTTGTCACAGTTGGGGGCAAGGGTGCTCACTGGGAGTAGTAGGTAGATGCCAGGGATGTAAACACTCTGCAATGTACAGAACAGCCCCCCACAACAAAGAATTATCCAGCTAAGATGTCAATTTTGCCGAGGTTAGGAAACTCTGCCCTAGATGTTTCAGCTCACTGAATATTCACAACAACCCTAAGAGGCAAGTATCATTATTATTCCCTATTTAACAGAGAAGGAAACTGAGGTTTGACAGAGTTAAGTAACACACCTAATAACACCCAGCCAGCAAATTGGATTCGAACCCAAGCAAACTGGTTCCACCAGGCCACACTTCAGAGTCACTATTGCAGCTTGTAACTATGCATTCATTGATAGGATTACTTTATTAATTCTCCCACGAGACTGAAATAAACATGGACCATATTGGTCTCTTTTTACCACTGTATCCCCAGCACCTAGTCCAGGCCCTGCTGCATGGTAGATACTCAGTGAACGAGTAGTGAAAGAGCATATACATTACACGCAGGGGACTCCAGACCCTCTGCTTTCACCATCACTGGGAATTTCCATTTCCCTTTCTCTCTTCCTCTTTCCGTTTCTCTCTCTCTCTCTCTCCCTATATATATACATGTATATATATAGCGCTATATATATGCAGTGATATATGTATCACAAATTTCATATAAGTGAATTCTTCAAAGAACTGGAAGTCATCCCTTTCCATTTCAAAACTCTTTTGCTCCAATTTTGGAGAGAACTATTTTTAAATCTTGCTGCACACATTTCTTTTTAAACATTGAGCTGAATAATTAAACTCAAACATTTACTTAGTGCTTTTAAACTCACAGAGGACTTTCTCTCTATATTATCTTGTCTTCTCTCTATATAGCAGGTGGTCTACTATTATTGTGCACCTCACTCTCATTTGGCAAATGTGAAACTGGGGCTCGGAGAGAGACAGTGATTTGCTAAAGGTCACACAGCTGGGAAGTGGTGGAATTGGGGCTGACCCTCAGGTCTTCTGAGTCATTCTCTCATTTTCTTTCCACTTAGGCCAGCTGCTGCCTCCCGTCAGTTAACCCTGCCTTGCGAATTCAGGGTCTCCTTCTGCCCGTGGGTTGCCATATGCAGGATCCAGTCGGCTACAAAACCATGTCAAGTGGTTATGCCCCAAATGGCTCCAGGTGCCATGTTTTCTGTGCACATGAATTTATTATGTAGCGTGTCTCAGTTTCTTCTTCCCTCACAGTCTTGCAGTCCACGTGCCATCCTTAGCAGCCACCTCTCACGTACACACAGCCTGTGTTAGCCAAGGTTCTCCAGAGAAACAGAACCAATAGGATATATATGTATATATGAAGAGGTTTATTATGAGGAATTGGCTCACATGATTATGGAGGCTAAGAAGACCCACGATCTGCCCTTTGCAACGTGGAGACCCAGGAAAGCCGATGGTGTAATTCCAGTCTGAATTCAAAGGCCTGAGAACCAGAGATGCCAATGGTGTAAATCCCAGTTCAGGGGCAGGAGAAGACGGATACCCTAGTTCAATCAGGCTGGCAGGAAGCAAAATAGGTGAATCTCTCCTTCCTCTTCCTTTTGTTCTATTCAGGCCCTCAACAGATTGGATGATGCCCACCCATATTGAGGAGAGCAGTCTACTTTACTGAGTCCATAGATTCAAATGCTAATCTCATCCAGAGACACCCTCACAGACACACCCAGAAATAATGTTTAATCTGGGTAGTCTATGGCCAGTCAAGTTGACACACAAAATTGATCATCACACATCCTAATCCCTTTTAATTTGATGCTTCTAATCTTTAAGATAGAAGCCAGCTATCTGGATTGATCAAAATCATGCCAAATATAAGAATTAGCAGGCTCTAAGTGAGGGCCTGAGAAGTGGTCTTTTGAATAAGGAGTAAGAGCTTTCGTGCCTGGTCTTCAGTTACTGTCCTGTAGCTGAATGTGCAGGATGAAGACTGCAAACTCAATAATCTACAAGCTGAGTCAGGAGGTCAATGCCAGCAATGGTTGAGTTTGGTAAATCTTCCTAGGTTGGCCACTAGAAAACAGGCAGCTAAACAATTTATAGGCTAGAGTTTCTACCAATGCTAAAATTAGGCTCAGAGGTGGGAAATTTTCAGGTCAGCTCGCAAGTCTGGGTCAAAGGTTTACCAAGGAAATGCTCTCTGTAGCCTTGGGCAGCCATGATAGCAGACCTCCATCTCAGTTGTTGCTTCAAAAGAGCCTGGGACTTCAGCCACCTTCCACAAGACGGTCCCCCCAGCCTGACAAATTTAAAGAGATTTCTCTCTACCTGATGAACTCTCTTCTTCCCGATCAATGTGCTTCTGGTGGAGGCAGATGTCTCCCTAAGAAGAATTGACATAGAATCCATATAGCCCTGGGCTCAGGTTTGAATGACTGTACTATTGACTAACTGCAGATTAGATGAAAGTGTGCATATAAAGTGCTCAATACCATTCTTGGACATTCAATAAATGCTAGTTATTATTATTGATAATAATAAAATAAAACCCACACCTTGTTTTACTAGTTACTATTCCATAGACAACAGTCTATTAAATCCATGTCAATAACACCTTAGCTTTTGGGGAGCTTCTTGATGGAAGGTATCTTCCATTTTGTTTTTCTCAGCAATGTTGTGAATAAGTGGAGCATCTAGATAAGTGGCCCTTATAAGTGATGTGTGTATAATAGAATATAACATAAGTAACACACCAGCATTGCATGTTTCCTGTGCACCGGACACTCTTTTAAGTGCTTTACATGGGTTAATTCATTTAATCCTCACATTACTCAGAGGCCGATACTACTACTATCCCCCTTTTACAGATGAGAAAGTGGAGGCACACGTTCACTCAGTTAGCAAGCTGTGCAGTCAGAAGCATACTTGCTACTTCATCTGCCTGGAACATTCTCCTTTTAACCCATACCCTCTCCCCTTATCTCCTACTCACAGTTGAAATCTCATTGAGATTTTGAGACAGATTTCTGACAGCAGCCTCCTCTCAAGTGACCCTTCTTGATCCTCCTGACTCGACGTGTTCCCTCCCTCTTGTGAAGCCCCCAGAACTTTCTTCCTTCCCCTGCCTTGTGCCCCAAACCTGACTCTGCCTTGTGACGTGGCTATTTGTGATCTTGTCTATATTCCACAGTAGAGCATGTCAAAGCACAGGAGAGAAACCAACAGGAGTGAAGTGTGCAGAAATAAGTTGTTGGGTCTTGACCAGGTTTTTGAAAATAAGTGGAACAGAATAGAAGCCTAACAGAATAAAAGAAAATATCAGAGTGTGTTCCATGTAGTAAGAGCAAGAATTGTTTCATGAGATTTTTGTATCAGGAGGGTGTGTGTGTGCATATGCTGGGTTGCAACATAAAAGATATTTCTTACAGGGAGTTACTGTTTTATGGGTACAGAGTTTCAGCTTTACAAGATGAAAAGAGTTCTGGAGATCTGCTACACAACAGTGTGAAATACTTTACGCTACTGAACTGTACACTTAAAAATGGTGTGGATGGCAAATTTTATATTATATGTATTTTACCACAATTAAATATAATTTTTTTAAAGATATTTCTTACTGTGAATCAGGGCCCCAAAATTTGAGATACGCTGTTCTACTGGACTGAAATCATTTTAGGGCTTAGAACATGTGTGATTCATCTTTTTATTCTAAGCAGCACACACCTGGCACAGCAGCACCAGCTCAGAGTAAACTCATTAGACGTCCCTTGAGTTGAATACATCACTCATAGTGAACAATCTCAATGGCCCATCATGTAAAATTCACGGTCCCTGCCTGCCCGTAGTTACAGCTGCTACAAACAGAGTCTCCCACAGCAGATACTGGGGAAGGAAAATGAGGAGACCCAAGGTGGGATATATGGATGGAAAATGGTTCTCTGGCCCTCTGATAATGTTGCCCTCATTGCCTTATGGTAGGTAAGCTGTTTCCTCTCTGAGTGAGGATCCCTTTCCCACAGTCCTCAACATTTCAGGCTGTGTGCTGGGCAGTGTTAGCTGCTCTGCGCTTCACGAGAGTTTGTGCTGTCTCTGTCAGGAGGGAGGCTTGTCCTCCCAGGTCTGAGGGAGCTCCCTGAAGGCAGACCCCTTAATTCCTCCCAGGACAAGCCTCTGGTGACTGCCTTCCTGCCTGCAGAGCTGAGAATGGACAGAAAGGCTGAGCCTAGAAGGTGTTTGGGGGCTCTCATGGGAACTAGAATCACACACAAAACCGGAGAATGAATGTGCCTCCCCACAAAGTAGTATTCTTTGTTTTGCCACTAATGGGTCAGTGGTCTATGACGGACACTATTCCTTCACAGAGGCCCAGACAAGCCTGGAAGAAGGATTGGAGTGGGGCAGGTGGGGAGGTTGTTCTGACATCATCATGCATAATACTAGAAAATAACATTCCCCATTGTGAGATGGGGTCAGGGTATGGATAATTATTCTCTTCAGGAAGACACTTCATTAAGATGAACTAGAGAGATTGTACTATCTGAGAGAATTAGTGTATGTTTTGGGGAGTTGAATCAATAGTTACCCCTAGGACAACACAAAGAATAATCCATGTGAATAAACCTCACATTGGCAGGAAGAGCTCAAAACAGACTCAACTCTAGTGCCAAGGCCTAGGGAGGGCTGTCCTGCTGCATCTAGTACTAGGGAGGCTGTCTCTAGAGGGGGAGGAGGAGCTGAGGCATGGAGAATAGAGGGAAGCGAAACTCAGACAAGACCAGCCCTCTGGGGCAGGGTGATGGGCCTTTCCTGAATCCGCGGAGGTTTGAAGGGGCTTCTCTTCAGGGCTGCTGCATTGCACAACTTCAGGGGACGCCGTTCCCACCACTCTCTAAGTAAAGGGCGCCTCCTGGAGTTGGGTAGTGAATGTACATGGTAGCCCTCTCTGATTCTCTTTCAAAGGAGGCTGGCCTGAGGGGAGGGGACAAGGCTAGGAACTGGGAGGTGTCACCTCTGTGAAGGGGTAACCGTGCTTTTCTCTT